ATAACATACATATCAATGATACAATAATTAACGTACTTAATTTTACGATATATGGTTATTTATACAGATTATTTATACAGATATAAACAATAAAATGTCTTTATTTGTTTGTTAGTACGGGAATTGACGTTGCAGTTATTGCAGAAAAAAAATAATTAACTCGCTTACGCGGGTTATGTATTTTTTCTGCAACAATTGCAACGTTAATTCCCGTACTAACAACCAAAGAAATATTTAGATGCCATCATTTGGAGGGCTGCAAATTTAGACCTGTACTCGGCACTGAGGGCTTTGAGAATTGAGGGATCCTTCTTGTGCCAGCACTTAACGGGACACGGGGCCTCGATTTATAAGGTCTCATCCGAAGGACCGATCTCCACGCCCCGTTCTTCGAAATATCTGGCGTTTTCAGGCGATTTGAGTATTTTAAGTGCCAGGAAAACATCAGAACCGGCGCCATTATGAAAAGTGGAAATTCGCCGCCTCCAACTCGGGTCGATTTTCGAAACTTGTAAACCGAATAAAATGTCTAACTCGCATCTTATCAACAGTACCATGCTTCTAGTACTAACCAAAGGCAATATCGCTTTTATTGTTCCTTTGAAATACAAGTATAAAGTGTCTGGTGAAAACATTTTATCAAACTGTCGAAATTTGTTTTGTTTCAAATATCGAAAATCGAGTTTAGGTGGGGGCGGCGAAATTTCCACTTTTTATAATGGCACCGGTTCTGACGTTTTCCTGCCACATAGAATAACAAAATCGTGGAAAACGTCAGATATTTCGGACTTCACGTCCCGCAGTGAAATTTGAACCCGCGAGGTAAGGATCAAATTTTTACTCCGCGACTCTAGAGCTAAGCTCTAACCACTGCGCCTAGAAATCAGCTTGCACAAAATTTAGTTGACTAGCTGTCAGCCCTTTGTTTTGCACCATGGAAAAATTTATCCTTAACTTGCCTGACGCCCAGGCTACAAATAGTGACCAACCTTCCTTGTTTTATTCTTTGTATATTCAACATTTTTTATTTCTTTGATAGTCTCCACTGTGTTTGTAAATATGACTGCACGTGTATCCTTTATTTTTATTCATTCTGTAATATTTCAAATTATGACTGTAAGATCGTGGATATCCTTTTATCTGAATAAACATGTTTTTGAACGGTGGTGACATTTCAAGCCACCCCACATCTTGGAACTTATGACCTGTTCACACGGAGTAGTTAATTCGAAAAATTTACATTTGCAAATATTTTTCTTAGATGAACCCATTGAAGAGAAAATCATCGTCCGATCTCGTCTTTTACTTATCACCCGTGGGCAAACTCGCTGATTTATCGTCGTTTAAATCCAAGATTCGGGGATATATAGTGTTTGCCCTGTCCGTCCGTCTGTCTGTTTGTCCGCCCAAACTTTAACCTTGTCCATAACTTTTGATTGATTGGAGCTATGGCTTTCATATTTCACATGTGTAGTCCCTGTGACAAGACCTTCCTTTGGATAACATATTGGACCTGACCTTGGAATTTGATCCACTTTTGAAAAAAAAAAAAAAAAAAAAAAAAAAATTACCCAACTTTAACCTTGGCCATAACTTTTGAACAGATGGTGCTTAGACTTCCATATTTCACATGTGTATTCATTGTGACAAACCCTTTTTATGGGTTTAAACATTTTTGACCTTTTGGCCTGACCTTAGAATTTGGCCCACTTTCGAAAAACTTTAACCTTGGTCATAACTTTTGAACAGTTAGTACTCTAGGGCTTTCAAATTTCAAATGTATATTATAATGTGACAAGACCTTTCTTTGGATACCAACAATTTTGACCTTTTGACCCTAGAATTTGACCCACTTTTAAAAATTTTAACCTTGTCCATAACTTTTGAATAGTTAGTACTATAGGGCTTTCAAATTTTAAATGAATATTCAATGTAACAAGACCTTCCTTTGGATACCAACGATTTTGACCTTGGAGTTTGACTTACTTTTGAAAATTTTAAACTTTGTCATAATTTTTGAACAGTTGGTGCTTTATATTTTGCATGTGTATTTCTTATGACAAGGTCCTACCCTGTGTACGATTAAATTTGACCCTTTGACCTTGACCTTGGAGTTTCACCAACTTTTAGAAAACATTAACCTTGACCAAAACTTTTGAATGGTTGGTGCTTGGGCGTTCATATTTACCAGGTCCTGCTAAGTCCTTTCTTTGGGTAACAGCATTTTTGATCTCTTGACCTTAGAGTTTGACTTGCATTTTAGAAACTTTAATCTTCACCATAAGCTGCCATAATATGGCATGTCAAACGTTGCAATATTCGATTTTTTCCATTTGTATTGTATAATTTTCCATTTATATTCTATAATTTTCCATTTGCATTGTATAATTTTCATTTGTATTGTATAATGTTTATTTGTATTCTATAATTTTCCATTTGTATTCTATAATTTTTCATTTGGATTGTATAATATTTCATTTGTATTGTATAATTTTTTGTATTCTATAATTTTCCATTTGTATTGGATAAATTTCTACTTGTATTGTATAAATTTCCATTTGTATTGTATAATTTTACAATACAAATGGAAAAGCATACAATACAAAAGGAAAATTATACAATACAAATGAGAAATTATACAATATGTATATGTAGCTTTTGTTGTAATTTTTCTTTCTCCCTTTAGATGTGTGACATATATTGTGAAACACCCTGTACATGTAACATAAACTGTGATGTGCCATCGCGATTCTGTGCAGCAGCCGATCAAATGACCCAAGCATATTAATTACATACGACGATATTTTGGCGAGTTTGCCCACGGGTGATAAGTAAAAGACGAGATCACCCGTGGATATTCGACGATGTGAGAAAATATCTTCAATTCTGTACGAACTTATTAGGGGGTCGGAGGTCACAGCGTGACCGAATCATATTGCCTACATATTTCTGTCACAGTGAAACTAGTTTCGGAACTTCCAGCTTGAAGCGATGACAAAGATAAAGTAATTGAAACATATGGAAATTTTTTCCAATCAACTGATGTCCGTTAGATCTTCCTTCGGTGTGAAGAATGGTTTGAATATCAATTAAAATGGCACTTAACCTTTTTAACCCAAAATTCCTCGGAAGGTATGTAAACGGGAACAGACGATACCACCGCTTTTGACTCAACATATATAAAGAATTCACAGAACAGTAATATTATTTTCATTATCATTAACTTAAAAAACTAGCCAAGAAAAGTTTCCTCAGAAAAGTGTTATCATAATTTCAAAAATTTCGATAATGAGAACTTTACTCTAAATACTAAATTCACAAATTGAATATGATTTTTATACATCTGAAGCTTAGCTATAGGCATTCTGCATGCCTTGTTCACTTTTCTACATTGAAAATTGAACATTGATGAAGAAAAAGGTCTATCAATATTTTCCCCTACCTACATGTACCTACCCAATTTTTTTAATCCGAGTTTGGAGAGGGCAAGCAAACATTTAAAAAAAGAGAGAGAGAGCCCGACATTAAACATGATAATTATTCAGTTGAACATCGGTATCTCGAACACGGATATCTCGAATACCATGGATATGTCGAAGTGATATTCTTGTCCCAACTACTTTTTCTTTAAATATTTTACCCTGGGTATCTCAAATCCTTGGATATCTCGACGTTTTTCTTTGCCCCATCCAGTTCGAGATAACTAAATTTGACTGTATATGCAACATTCTTTCATGTAAATAAGTTGAATCCGATTTGTCGAGAAACATTTGTTATAAAACACTATTACCCGCTGAATAATGAAGCCACGCCCTCCAGCGTAGCAACAGTCAACATTGCTTGACGACGGGTGATATTCCAAAAAATATTGACTGCGCAGAATTTATTCGCGCAAGGTTCACTGTAATAAGTATTTGTATAAAACATTCAGTATTATATAATAAATATTGCATGTAGTTGAGTGTATCATTGAAAATTTTCACCCCAAGAAAACCATTGTCAACCGAGGCGCAGCCGAGAAAATTTTCAATGTTACACTCAACTACATGCAATATTTATATATTAATAGATCCCACTAGTTTTGAAAAACACTGGCTTATGTTCAGTTGACTTCATCCAGACTTGTGATGCTCTTCGCTTACTCAAATAAAGCATTGTTTCTCACAGTTTTAGACTATACCTTCAAACAGTTATATTGCTAAGGATACAATCCTATCGATTACAGTATTTCTTACATATTTAGGAGTATCATGGAATAAACACATTGGTTGTACATTAAGAAAAAAAAAAGATTTTTTTAATTTAAATTTATTTGACAAACAAAGTTTAATTTCACAAAAAATATTAAAGAAAACACAGAGTCATACTGTCTTTAAAATAAATAGATATTGCACTTGCAAAAAATTCAGTAAAACTGACAAAAACGCAAATAACATAATATAAATATAACAATAAATATCATGCAATGTGAAAAATAAATAATAAAATAACAAAATCAAAATGTTCATGTTCTCTGCAAAAATCTCAAAAAATTTAAAGTATTCGTATTATATGACTGTATTGACACTTTTGTGTAATAAATTGAACATTAAAAAAATGAATATTTAATAAGTTTTATTTAATTTTTCAAGAAATGTTGAAAACAAAAATAAGATATTCAATATCATTCAGAAATTAAAATCACACTAACATACCACTTATTTTAATTAAAAAAAAGGAACTCATGCAATATCTTTAGCAACAAACTAACAATATATCATTTAGACTTGTACACACATTTAAGATATAAGAGTACACAATAAATTACAAAACCTATATCATCCAGATCCATTTCATTAATGGAATTTTATTTATCATAAAAGGCTGATTTTACAACAAGTAAAACTAGGTTTAAGTTATACATATTCATAATACACATACCTGTACTTGACTGACTTTGGAATGAATAATAATGAGAATTGTACTCAAATCAAATACGTTATAACAGGGAATAGTCTACTCCATATTTATAATACACACATAAAGAAAAAAGTATTTACATGAAATAAATAAAATACTGTTAAATAATACCAAAAAAATGTGAGGAAAAAATTAAATAAGAAAACAAATAGTATGACTAGTAAAACTGCGCAAATATAAGTAATAATTCTTTTATTTACGATTTCCTAAACGAAGCTATGACACTTAAGGGAAAAATTTACCCTAAAGGTAATCACAGTGGATTTGGGAAATTAAGCACCAGTTTACATAATACAGATGGAAAAATTTACAGGGGTTATATTGTAGTAGGGCGACACGAAAGTAAATTCCTTTTACAAATTCATCACATACGTCACAACGGACAGATAACAACAAGAAATTCCTGTCAAAAAAGGACACAATAAAGTATTGAAATGAAACTGTTTGCAATATTATATTTCGCTATGCATATGAAGATATGTTTGTCTTTATATTTATACATATGTTCATTAAAGTCCTAGTAAAAACAACGCAACTCTTTAAAATTGAGATCATAGCATGGAGTCAAACCCAGTGAATATTAATTGTACAGTAGCATATCGGCCCATATTATCGGACTCGATCTACACCCCTTTGGTTGAAACCGTTTTAAGTGCTCAGAAAAATTATGTGAATTATAACATTTTCTTTTTCATAAAAAGCAATATCCAATATACTTTTGTCTTAAAACCTATAAATGGGCAATTGCATGTTGTTGTTCACATACATATGTATATACCTTACGTAGCCTAAACCTGGGAGGCGATTTATTTGAAGATGCTTCTTGTATGCAGAAAGCACCAGGCAGATTATGAGGTATAGTCGACTAGACGAATTTGCACTAAATTAATTCCAAACTAGTTTTGCTGAAGAAGCAACTGTTCAAGTTCGTCTGCTGAACGGTAGAGAAAGGCAGCTGACTCGCGGTAGCCACCAATTAGCTGTTTTATAGTGGCAATTTCTCCAGCACTTAATTGACTCTTAGAGGACTGTTTCTTTATGCTAAGATCTGTGGGACCTGCAAAAAAATATATATATAATAAATTAAAAAGATATCATAAGGTACAGAAAATAAACAAATTTAAAAAAAACAGCCACATAAACAACACGATTACAGAACAATATCGAATGACAAATAATCTGGTCTCTCATTCTCACGATTCCAATTGTAATTCATGCAATATATACATATATACAGGTTCGTAGAATGCGAGGGGAGGAGGAGGGCAGTCCCCCTTTTTTCTGAATATAGTTTTTTGCTATAGTAAATGTTCCTTTAAATAGATACTGGTTGCCTCCCTCCTTTTTGTTGCTGTAAGGTTGAGCACTGGCGAATTTCAGGATATATCCCGGTATATATATATATATATATATATATATATATATATATATATATATATATATATATATATATATATCATGCTCGTCACAAAAAAAACTTCCAAATATAAACAAATGAAGTTGATGACAATAAATATTTTTCTTTTATTACATGTATTATCTGATGAGTAGAAAAAGAAATATTGCAACGATACATACTTAACTTACCGTTTTGAACCGAGGTCGGGTTCAGTGAGCTGTGCGACAAGACAGGTGGGTGGTGATGTGCCGGATGCTGATATCCCGGAAATCCGGGTCGAAATAGTCCATTTCCATTCGTGAAAAATGGTGGATGGAATTCTGGAGCGGGCCTGAAGGCAGGAGGTGGTGGTTGATGACGCAAGAAGTCGTTATTAGTGTGTGCATGTCTATCTACTTGTGATGCAGATTGTTGAGACTGAGGTGACGTTTGATTGGAGGATGATTGGGAATGTGGTGATGGAGCAGGCGTTGACTGTTGTTGCGGCTGAGCAGTTGTCTGAGATTGACTATTTGTTGTTGAACTGTTGTGTTGCATTGACACGGCCTACAAGTAAGCACAAATCTTAATTCACGGAAATCTTAATTAAACCTTCACTAATTAATTTCACAGTGCAGAAATGAATTTAAGACTCTTTCCAAGTACCAGTATCATAATCATTTACATGTTCCCCACTTTGTATTAAAATTTATGACAACAAAATATACACTGTACATTACGTTTGTCTAAGTATTGTGTATATTACTTACACAATAAAACAGTAATAATTTCTATGGAGGGATATCATAGCTGTAGAACTGCAGCTCTCTGATTGAAAAAGTTCGCGGGACAGTACTGAAAACCAGAGACTGAGAGAGCTACAGATCCAAGCACTGTAAATTTTACGGCGCCGCTTTTTTGTCGCATGCTGCAAGCATTTCTTGCATTATATGCATTTCCGTACCTAAATCATGATATCCTTTAATAAACAACACATTTTACTCCTAATCTTGTTACTTTCTTTACTTCCCAACAGGTCTCAAGAGCCCAATGTGACTTGGAATGCCAGTTTCAAAATTTCGCATTCCAATATCCGATATTGCGTCATTTAAAAATACGCAATACGCCTGCTAAGAAGACCTAATTATAATTGTTTGGGGTCAAATATAATTTATTTCGTCTAGAAAAGACGACAATATGCACACACACACCCCCCTCACACACACATAACCATGTACCTCAATGTAAATAATGTTACCGATGCCTGGATCGATATATTCTGGTATATTTGGGCTGTAAATGATCCAAATATTAAATTTTTGAAATTTTGAATTTTTTGAAATATTTAAAAAATGTAAACTTTCTAGCATGTTAAAAAAAAATTATACCTTTTTTGCCATCACCCTTATAAATCTATGCAAAATTTCATCACTTTTTAGAACTTTATTGTGAAAATTTGAATAGAAAATTAAAATCTATGAGGCTAAAATTTTTTATTTCACTTATTCAAACATATACTTTCATTGTTATTTTCATGATTTTTTTTAGAAAAAAAATGTTTGCATCATCTGTTCTCTATAGAAAGTTGCATTCTTACTTTCTAATTCAAACTTTCGTATTTTACTTAGAATTTTATCAATAAAATTAAAATGAAAGTGGGCATATTGAAGCAGAATTTTGAAAATTACGCGTGGAATCAAAATAAGAAAGTTTGTAAAAATATCAAAATAAAAGAAATTAAGAAATTAAAACAAAATAGGAAAATTCAAACAAGAAGATAGAATTGAAATAAAAAAAAAAGAAATGATAAAATAAATTGGAAAAACAAGACGTTAGAGTTAAAAGAAGAATTGAGAATTAAATATTAACATGAAATTTAAAAAAAAAAACAGAATTAAAATCAAAATAAAACTAAAATAAGTATTAAGCTAAACAAGTATTCCTTTTAAAAGAATGATCGGCATGGGATCATAAAGTCAGCATTATGACATGTCTTGAAAATAAGTCGGTTGACTTTTTCATTTTAATTAACTTAATTTTTTTTCTATTAGTATATGCATGGATATACATATATTTTTAATTTCACATTATTTCTCAACTGAGTGGGACGTGTAAAGGATAGTCCCATATTAACATGCTTTTCTTAATATACCGAATTTAACGAGGCCGAGTCTAATTATTTCTACCCTAGATATATTGATAAATTTTCTTGAATGAATTTTTACTATTATATTAATTATTTTAAGATAAATGTATCAAATGTGTACCATCCCGATTTCTAAGAGGACCATCTTAAAAGTTGTCAAATTTTACTATTTGACCCTATGGGAATTTGTTGGAAAGCGCCAAATTATCACATTTTCCCACAGGCACTTGTTTCGGTAATAAATTTTTAACCCATAGTATAATAATAACACAAGATATCTAACTCCGAATTACACGGAGTAGCCCCCTCCCCCAGAATCGAACTAATTTACACTTTCAGAGGAAATACACCGACAAACTGTTTATACCTATGTTATCTACGATAATTTATCTACACAACCATATATGGCATGCTTGTCTTTATTTTCTTTAGTCTCCGTAAACAGCGTCAAAACTCTGCTCGTCGAGTGGAAAAGTCGAATTCAACCATGAAATGGTAATTTTTATTAATAATAAGTACACTTTCACTGTTAAGCAGTCATTGGTCAATCAAACACGTCCATATAGCATCAAGTGATAGTCAATATTACATGTATTAGCGTCTGGAGAAGAAAGTGATTGAGGAAATGTAATAGATATAATATGCGGTAAAAATAATTTGAATTCATATACATGTAGTACAAGTATTCTTGAGGTGTACAGGCAGTCTAAAAAAAAGGACAGAGTTAAAATGACTGAAGCCTTCGATTATTCGACTATGGTCAATTTGCATCATGGATACTTACCGGAAGTGGCTCTAGTCCAAGACGCATGCGCTTGGCATTTTGGCTTTCATTTTCGCAGGCTTGTGCAAGAAGACTTTCTGCTGCAGCCGAGGTAAGATGTGGAGGAGTGGGTCGCATCTGTTGCTTTGGAAACACAATAACATTTAACTATTTTATTCAGACACAATAAAGATCAACAAGGACAAATATTTCCTTTTTTAATGAAAAGTATACATTTTATTCCATACTTACGGGTTCCCATCCGTTCTGTTCTTTAGATCTGCGCATTCGACGGCAAGATTTGAGGTAAGTACGGATTCTTTTACGAGATCTGACGTGGAATTCCGGAAATTGTCGATCGCAAGCCTCTAAAATAGCCTGGATTTTATCCTTAGGCTGTTTTGAAATTGGAACCATTCTGTCCAGATTTTCATCAACAAACAGGCGAACAAACATCTGAAGAAAAAAAAAATATACATGATCTCTTTTCCATTTTGTTCAAATGATACTTTGAGACCCTCTCCTTTTGGAACATAATCCTTGCAATACTTTTTACAAAGAGGCATCAAATCTTTAATCGTGATGATATCTCAAGAACAAATTTTCTCATATAAGAAAAATGTAATAAAAAATAAAATCAATAGAGTATACGCAGTTTAAATGATAATGATTAATGAACAGATTTTTTTTTAAAAACCAATGTGTATGCCTTACATTAAAGGCCTTGAGTCTCTCAGGATCAAAGTCTTGTCCAGTTGGCATTTTATCATCATCATCATTATCGTCGTCATCGTCTTCATCTTTACCAACAGATTCGTCGTTATTTCCGCTCTCGCTTAATTTTGTTGAACTCTGTAAAAGTAAGCACTACTTCTTAATGAATTAATTTGTGTTCGATTAATAAATTCTAAAGTTTGATTCCAACAGGATTTATTTTTATCATCATCCGTGAATCAACACTATGTATATTTCTAATACAAAAAAAATATGTGAACACATTATGGTTGAACAGTGTTCAACAAGCCACCCCTTTTAATAATGACAGTTGCATTGTGTGAAATACACATACGAAATATTCAAAGTAAATTGCAGTTTTTTCCCCAATTTTTTTCTGTTTAATATAATTTCATCATACAACTTTAAAAAAAAGCTGCAATTAAGAAACAACTCTTGATCCCAACTAAGAAATTTGGTATTTATCAATTTACACGAACTTCCTCAACCGAATATTTCTCCTTCCGATAAATGAATATGCAGATAAATCACCTAATTATGCCATCCAACTAATCCAAAAGCCCTGCTTTGACATATTTTGACCTACTTTCACAGAGATATGTCATATCATCGGACCACGACCAAATTCGAACTTGACCTGTATTCTGTGGTAAAATACCTGCATATGCAATTTTAACCTTATGCATACATCTCTACAAAAGTTAGAGAGCGGAAACTGAAAATTTCTTATTTTTTCTGAGTTCAAGAGGGATAACTCTGTCAAAAATCATCGGACCACGACCAAATTCGAACTTGACCTGTATTTTCTGGTGAAATACCTGCATATGCAATTTCAACCTTATGCATACATCTCTACAAAAGTTAGAGAGCGGAAACTTATTTTTTTTCAATTTTTTTCTGAGTTCAAGAGGGATAATTCTGTCAAAAATCATCGGACCATGACCAAATTCGAACTTGTCCTGCGTAGTCTATGACGTATCCATATGTCAAATTTAAATTGAATGTGTGCAACTGTCACCGAGATAATGAACGGAAAGTCAATGATTACAGAATGACGGAACAGGGTAACGGTCATTTTATGGCGGGGGCATAATTAAATGGGAAATCCTGTACCTAAATTGTTTACTTTGCCTAAATCTCGGCTTTTGAAAAGTCTTTTCCATTTTATTTCCTTCGCAAAGAAGCTAAATGAACATGTAATACACATTTCTTTAGACTTTAGGATCCAAGACGGCTACGGTAAAGATTTATGAAAGAACAAATCGGACACAGACACTTTAGGCATCTGAATATTGTTCCCACAAAGTATTCTTTGCTAATACACTGTTCTACAAACAAATTGGAAAAGTTCACAAAAAACAGCCACTTCGAGAACAAAAATAAGCCTTGCCTTGCATTGACAAAAAAACCCGACTTCTTTAGTTCAGACTGAACTTATTGGAATAAGATGGTACGCACCTCACAACTGTCTTCGCTAGCTCTTCTTTTTCTTTCGGGATGTCCGCGGTCATCTGACCTTGATGACGGAGATTTAGATATAGCAAATGAAAGGCTGGCTTCTTCATCCGCCATAGGGCTATCTATTAAAAAACAATGCAAGTAAATGTGTAACTCTACAATAAGCAATTTTTGGATTGCACTTTTTTTAAAGATTTCCTTAAGAAAGGACCAGTAAGTTAAGTAAATGTCAAATTAATTACCATAACATTACAGCGATTAGGAAAGAGACTTTGGTAGCCATGACAACGATTCAGTTGTTACTCACAATTCGTGCGCAAGATACACCTGAAGTCTCACCTATCAAATTTTTTATCGATTTGCATCAAGACAAGATGAATCCCTTCCCACTATGGCGTTCTACTTTCCCCATCATCTAACACTATCAGAGAGGAAAAGACTTAGGTAATGTCTGTCACACAAAAGAAACCTCAAAATCGAACCTTTTCAACTCTCAAGGGTAAAACAGAGAGTATTGATGGTAATTGGTTAAAACTTTTGATGTGAGGTCTAAGGTATAATGCACACAGCGCGCCCGGTTCGTGACGGTAACGGATTCTCGTCCTTTGTGAAAGGTAGTGTTTACACTCCCGTCAATCGATCCAATATTTCAGCAGACGACTCCAGGCTCCAAAAGGACGAAATCCGTCTTCTCGAATATTACAAATTATCATAAATGCAGATTTGGAATGCGTTTACAGGTTGTACTTGAGCACTTGAGAAATCGAGAACTCATGTGTTCATTACTCCATTTAATTTTTTATGAAAAGTTTGTAAATTGTATTACTTAGAATAAATGTAAAATTAAAAAGTACATTTTAAATTATTTCTAATATTGCTTCTTTTTTTTTTTTTTAAATTATTTTAATTTTATTTAAAAATACGTGTACAAAGTGGTGTGCCAAGTAGAAATTATTCCTTTAGTCTTAGTACATATTATTAATGGACGAAGTACATGTAACAGAACATTTTTAAAAATATATATATGTATAGAATTTCAAAAATGAGTTTCTTTAAGGCAGGATATTAATTTTTATTGCCACTGGTATTACGGTATTGATTTGTCCCGGGTCTATAAAGTAATCCCAAAGATTATCTGAGAGAGATTTTCAGCGCTGTCAGAAGCTCTACCGCGCCTCTTGCCGACCGTTCCATCTAAAAGTAAAAACCCTGGCCTTCCCGGAGACAAAACAAATTGAAAGGTACCAGGTTTTCGATCAATGAGAAGACGGGAGCTGCTGCAATGGAGTGTGATTTGTTCCAAGTGCCTGTTTCTCTTTGTAATTACCAACGGGAGCCATTAACGCAAATACCAAATCTTTCACCTGAGTTACCTGGGTTTTAAACCTGATGCATCAGCAAGGTTGCCGAAAGGACTTTGTAAAGTCACTCTATCATAGTCTCTATGGTAATGTGATGTCGTCCATTTCCTCCCCAAAAAACTACATTTGTTATTACTGATAAAGGGAAATAGATGTTACAGGTTGATGATACTTTTTCAATGATTGCTATCTTTCGTATTGAAACAGATGGGTAGGATTTCAAAGCTGTCTACTACCCCTGCAACAGTACTGGCTTTATTAACAGAAAAGCGTAATCACTGCAAATATTTTTTAACGAATATCAATAGATTGTGTAATGTTTGCTTTTGTTTTCATCAACGTTCTTGAAAAGGTATGGACCATCAGAACGAAAACAGCTCTGCCTATCGTAAGGGTATTTACTCATATGTACATGTAAACATATATTAACATTAAAAAAGAAACAATCCTTCACCATTACCAATTATCCATATATCTTTTTTCAGTGTCAGAAAAGGTACACTGGTGTTAATTATTTTTGTACAAATAAAGCTAATAGCTGTTGGTATAACCTTTAAAATAGACAACATGTAGCATGTTTAATTTCTTGATTAGCACTTTCTCACTTTTCGTCTCATGGCTACAACTTCGTAGATTATGACATTCATTTTATTTGAACTAAAAACATGCCAAAATTGGATAATTCTTGAAATTACTACTTATATATATCTAAAATTTTTTAAAATGAAAAATGGCAATCCGACATATACATTTTATTTATATCATGTTTTTTCCCCGAAAGATAATTGAATTATATACATTTTTTTTTAGTAAAACTTTGTGGTGAAATTAAAATGTACACAATCTTTGTTTTTTTTTTTTTTTAATTTATTTATAATATTATATCATTCGTTAGTTGAAAATGTTACAAATTAATTGTCACATTGCTTTAAACTATCACATGCCTGAAACTAGCACAATTTCAAGGAGGATTTCCTAATTGAATTTACAATAAGTTTCTAATACGGTTGTAAGAATTCCAAGAGGGAAAACAGGCGCTTTAATATTTGATGGTCATTTAACTAGCTTTAAGTTTAAAAGTTGAAACCAAGTAGGATAAAAGAATGCAAGAGGTTGGATATCTCGATATTCGCAATTAATTCCCTCTCATAAAGAGAATGTTTAGATGTCCAAAATAACAACATCACGTCAATGTTTATTGCATTTAAATAATAATTTTCTTTTCATTTCTTTGCAAAAGAAAGTTACCTCGTAGAACAGTGGCATCTACTTACAAATGAAAAAAGAAAATTATATATGAAGGAATAGGTAACATTGATTCTTAAGAAATTCCAATTTCTACGAAGAGAGGTATGTCACTCCATCCCTAAAAAGTAGCTTTTTCAAATCAAGAAAAATGTAAAAGGAATTCATACTTTATAATTGACATAAAGTCCACACCTATTGACATTAATTGGATAAGAGACCGATATTCAAATACTGGAGCCTTGTGTTGTAGTCTTCCTGCCGTAATGGTAATGCAAGATTTAGTAGAAAAGACTAAAAGCACGACCTTCTTGACGAAAAGACTGCACCAAAAATGTCTGTTTCTGTAATATATTGGTTTTTCCAGGAAACTGCCTGTTTGATCTCAGATAAAGGGTGTCGTCAAGTCACGTGACAGACTTGGAGACTAAAGCGGAACACTCCCTTTGGAACTGTGAGCTCATTCCCAATTCTATGGTCACAAAGCTATCGATTTTACGACACTTTTCAGCCTCTACGCTGACGAGCTGTGGATTTGATACCTGATCGTTTACCAGGGCTTATACCAACTAAATAATATATGTGACCAAATCAAATTCTAAACAAAGGCAGGGTTGAGTTTGTCATGTTTGTCATTTCGAGTTAAAAATTAAATAGTAAAACGTCAAACAAATGCCTTTGATGTGTTTTATCATTATTACTGAATTATGGATTAAAAAAAAATATCCTGGATTATAGGTTTATGTTTTTTTCTTTCAAATAAATATTAATATTTTTTAAATAAAGCGGAAACAAAATATGCGAATCGATTCAAAACGTTTTGTTTCGTATGATATCCATATAGTCAGTAAATTTTCAAATTTGAAGTTAAAATATAATTAATGTATGTTAAAATATTACTTTCCTTAGAACATTTCCCCCAAATTTGACAAGAACGTTAAGATATCATAATCATGCATTACAAGAGCATGTTGGTAGATTTCATGAATATTCATTATCGAAAGATCTTGACGGACCACACTTGACTTCCGGCAACAAATCCATGAAACTTGCTGAAGTGTCGCATGAATTCTGTTCATGTCCTCTTTTCTAACTATTAATAATTATTGAGATCGGCAAAAATATTTTAAATTTGCTTTATATACATTTTCCCCGTGAGATCTGGTACTTTAATTTAATTTTGCAATTATTAGAATTTTCATGACTTTTGCTTAGAAGAAATAAGACATCAGTATGCTAAGTATTTTTCTCTGCCGAAACACGGACTGTAATTTCTGGTAATAACAATACTGAGAAAACTAAAATCAAAGATTCTTCCATAAAAGTAACAGGGGTCAGGATATCAGTAACAGGATTTCCTACCGAAATCTGAAACGAATAAGTATGAATGTACACTTCATGAACATAAAGACTTTCAAAATTATTTGATCGACCAAATTGAAGAAACGAAACAGTATAGCCGCTTTTAAGAAAAGTTGAGTCTGAAAATATGCATATAATTGTATGCACATTGTCGACTCAACGAGCCCAGTCCTCCAAAACTTAATCTAGTTTATGCATGGTCTTTTCAGATTTTATACATTGATACACCTGAATTAGTATAATACTCAAATTCTCCACCCACCCACCCACACACACACACAAACCATTTGATGAACCAGTTAACTCTGATGAACCAGTTCTAAAATAATTTTGTATAAGCGAACACTTGCAATTTTTATGCAAATAAAAGCATCACAAAATGTTTTTTGGTCTTTTAAATATATGTGTTTTCTTAAGAAGTTGACAGTAAAGTTTTTTTAATGGCTCGACATTAACGCTTGTCCGGTACCAGGAAAACAAATACCGTTACGGACAAGTTAATTTTGCTGGGCACTTGTCCGATTGGACAGGTGCTTTAATTTTATTACGTAAAGAAGTCTCTAAATAATAAAAAGAACGACTGGTGAATTTTTAAAAAAAATTAAAAAGTTAAAATTTTGTGGACACCAATATTGTTATATGTGCTTGTTGTATTTATCAATAAGATCACAAATCAATCAAGCAAGTATATAATGGACTTTATTTTTAATTAATACAGTACTGTAGTTTTCAACATTAGATCTTAATTGTAAAATTTTCGGACAAGTGAAATTGGAAAAGTGAAGTTGAAGTTCGGCCAAGTAAATGTCTTGGTCACTTGTCCGAATGGACAAGTAGGGAAAATGTTAATGTAGAGCCCTGTAATTATATGTAACACTTTTTAATGGTTTCACTGGTTTTACCGTAGAAATTACTGTCGAGCAATATAAAAGAATGACGAGGGAGATAACAATTAAGGTGGTTAGTTAACAACCACATAACGGCAAATCAAATACAGGAAAGTAAAACGAGCAATGCAGGTGTATTTATTCATGGAAGTTGCTTCAGTATTCAAATTGTCGTTTCATTATAAAAGTAAAATTCTGTATGCAATTTTTGTCTTTCCAAAGATACAAACAGAATTATCGCCAATTTGTAGGTTACATACTAAAAGTGTGCATCGTATATTCCACAACATTCTGAAAATTAAGATTTACATGCACAATATAATATAGTTAGTTGAAAATTCAACATAGTAATTTACAGTTTTATAAACATACAACATTAAAGCATAATCAATGGGGCGGGACGCAAGTTATTCCAATTTTCCTCTCCAACACCAAGAAAATAAATGATGTACAATGAAACAAACAAATTTAAAGTGCAGGTAAATAGAATGGCACGGAAAAAAGTGCAAAGAAAAGGGGAAAGGGGGAAGGAATGGTTGAAGAATGTAGGAATAGTTAAGGTCAGACGACACGTTCCTCAGTAATATAGGATTTTTTCCAAGAATTTGTCATTGAAGTTTTGCTATTTAAACAAGTTTCCTCACAAAAAATAAGGTATCTTACCGAGCATTTGTGCAAGATAACAGAGAATGGTATTTACTATATTATCCTACTGGAAATCTTTTGATTTTTGAATATCACAGTTTTTTTTGGTGTCTTTATCTACTTACACAATTTGAAAACAGTTTAAAAATCACAAAAAATGATAATCATGATTAAGAAGATGGGCGTGTTTGGCGTGTGATCTGCAGGAATAAGGCGTACGAAACATTTATAGTTTAAATATCTACGAGTTGGTCGGCTGCCACAGCTGGATATACTTTACAAAGTTACGCACATGGGAAAATGTTACATTTAATTTGAAATACTTTGTCAAATTTAATACCGGGATATATCACTACGCTTATCTTAATAATTACTGTAAAACGTAATACCGCTTCACATAAATAATAAATACATATAGGGTATAGTTAAATGCAATTACAAATACATCTGTATATTAAAGTATCAGAAAGTTGGAAAAATTGCTTTTCGCTGCAACAGAACCAAAATTTATCTTTTTGAAAATAAATTGGTACATAAAATTACTGACAAAAGAATTGATTGTTTGTAATAAAAAAAAATATTAACGCTCCATGCGAGGATCGAACCAAAAATATTTCTCATTCAATGCACTGGACGAGTATCGAATACTACTGAGCTATCACCGCTACACATACTTTTTGGTTTTTAAAGCGACATTCAAGCACCGCATTTACACACTGGAATTTTTTTGGGGAAAAAAAATCATTTTTGATCGTTTTTTGTCTTCTCTCCATTTTATACAAATGTTTGTTAGTTTCTTTGAATAAAAATGCACAAAAATAACGTTTCAAAATCATGGAGAGATACCCAGAGGTAGCAAATTTTTAGAAAAACATGTTTGAAAATGTAATGTTTTGTACAATGCCTCATCTAGCCAATTTTCAAGTTCTTTTTTAGCAACTCAAAATACAATATCAGGGAAATATTTCCCTTTCCTATTTCACAGGAACCCGATACATCAAAAGAATGCTAAAATTTCATGTGACAGATCAATGAAATTTTCACTTTTCAAGTGCGCCCAGATTCCTGCCGAAAGCCAATCAAAAGCGCCCTCGTTCTTTCTTGTATATTACGAAGAGATACAAAACAGATATTCGATCAACGTGTCGTCAGACCTTATGCTGGAAAAACTTTATATAAACCCCTTTACTCAATGATGGTGACACTTTGTGGTGAAGATTTGCTATTTTTGTATTTTCATTTGATATCCAAGTGGAGTTAAACATATTTTGTCCTCAGTTATGTATCTGAGGAATTTATTGCCGCTATTACATTAATCATCGCTGTTATGACATTTGAACATTGTTGTGTCCCAAAATCTCATCGGTTCTACTAAATCCTCAAAAACAGTTGCATCTTTTTCCCCCCAACCTCTTCAGTTTAAAACCATCAAGTAAAGAAGATGGACGAATAAGCCGAGAAAAATTCAAATGGTTCGACAAGTAAAAAAGTGAAAAATTAATCTCGATTATAACACAATTTTTTGGTATTTCAGATAAAATTAAAGTACAAGATAACAAAAAGTAATCAAGCTCAAAAGTCCACTGAAACAATACAAATCGGGATCAGAGCAAACACAGACTTCTAAGGGATCAGGTGCCATGGAGGAGTGAATATCCCCTGTCGACCGGTCACATCCGCCATGTGTTCTTTGTCATGATCGGGCAAACGGAAAAATCCGTAGACGATTCAATGTGTAAATAATGGCCTAACAGTTAGTATGAAAACGTCAGTCAGCATTCAACTCAATGATAAATTGCATTTGCGGACAAGGTCAAACGAGACTGTCGATGTCCTTATTTCATCAACTTGATTGTCAATAGCTTTTCTCTTTCTAGAAATTGTTCGTACGTGTACGTAGAGCATGCTCTTGCGCACCGAATCAACTGGGAGACATAAATTCTATATGCGGGTGATTAGGGTATATTGCTATATAAATGAGGAAAGTTGACGATAGAAAAGTTTAAGACATCACGTTTATCATGAAGTTTTTTTTAAAGGTTACCATTAATATAACGTCCTTTTCTGATAAAATATCCAAATATGAAACAGATGTGTCAGACTCCGTGGTATCTTTTATTTCAAGTTCACTGAGAAATATCGAGTCAACATATGAATGGAACTAACTATTGTTAATTGATAATACGTATACTTTACGTAAAATCTTCAAATTTACAACAATGTCACAAGTGTTAAAATAATTCGTTTAAGAAAGAGCATGCACAAACCAAAAAGGGGAAAAAATAGTCATTTCTTCATACCAAAAAGCAACTTTTCTGTATAAGTGGGATTTCGCTTTATTTTTTGCAAAGAATATCTTCAAAGTATGTTTAAAAACATACATTTTTTTTTTTGCTTTAAAAAAACATGGAGCAAGAACCCACTCTACATTAAAAATACTTTTATGACGCAAAATTGAAATTCGTATCTTTCCGGCAGAGAAATACTTAAGTCAAGTTAAAACGTTCATTTTAATACCGTTCCTGTTCTGAGCTATGTGGTATAGTGGTTAATGTGTCAGTAAAGAAAGAAAACTGATACTCACGATATTTTATTGCTTGGATAAAAAAAAATCCTTTACTCTTTTTTTTTTTTACCATAGAATAATTTTTACCGAATTTTTCCACATTTCTTTTTTTTTTTAATCATACATAATATCATACCTTCCTTTAATTAAAACTTTGTTCTAAATACATGTAATTAGTTCAAAAATTGGATTTATTTTTTATACATTTGTCTTTATTATAAATTGTCTCTAGAAATGGTATGGCTGATAGAATTTTACAATTCAAGGAGGTTCTAAACGCGATTTCTTTTTAAATTTGAGAACATTATATCATATAAAGCTGTAAATATTAGTTAATTTCAGATCTCACCTGGGGTATTTGCTATAGTTATTTCCACAGGAAGGTGTTCAAAGACAACGAAGTATTACTGAACAGAAATCAAACTGTTGTTTATTAATATTGGAGATATAAATGCAAATAATGTATTCAATTACTTTATCTTGGTCCAGTATAATGGAATACTTCAAATTATATAAAATTCTATCATTCCTTTTTATTCCATCTTACATCTAAGGGCAGATCACTCTAACTACATAAATTAAACTCTTCAATGTGCAGTATGGAGAGCTTCTTCCTTAATACGGTAATTTTTTCAGTGACATTGAGGAACACTTTTCCATATAAAGTGTATTTAGTTTCTATTGTGTATTCTTGCGCGTGACAAGGTCTAGAGTGTGCTCATTAAATTTTCAAAAAATAACTGAAAGTAAACATATAAATGGACTGGCGACAAGAATGAGTTCTTGTTTTAAATATTTCAGCTTTTATTAATAAAAGGATGAATCCCCCATAAAATTAAAAGGAAAGAATTTAATGAGAAGACACTTCAATACACAAAAAGGCATTCAAGCAATCATTTCAAAATCACTGATATTTGCTAAGTAAAACTTCAAATTATGAGATACCTATACGGGCTTTATTTCTCTCTGAAAATCTAACATTTTGTTACAAAAAAAGTTTACAAGAAGATGGACAACAGGGATAGGCTTTTCTGGTATCCAACATCTAGGGTAGGAAAAAATTACCATTATTCCATTTTTGGGGTGTAAATTGGGGATTAAGCCTCGATGATAGTATAAAAAATGACGAGTCACAGGATGATCTACATGTAGTCCCAGTGTTAGTCTGTGTTTATCACTTTCAATATACAGCTGTATCTTATTTTTTAAAAATTTTGTTTTAAACTTCATGAATTAATTTAATAAATACGACGAGCAAAATTTTAAGCGATAGAAATGAACAAACTATGGCGTTTATCCACAATACCCATATATTCAAAAATGCAGTTAATGAAAAAAGCGCCTCAACTTCAAATTATAAAAGATTTATCCTATTCCCAGATTATTTGTATTTTTATTGAAATAACCCCTCCTTCCATACGTAACTGTTTCAACAAAACCACTTTCTTCTTTTCAGCCATTGTTTAAACTATACTCCAGGACCTCTATTAAGAGTAAAAAGAATTACCTTCTTTAGGGGTGGATCTGTGGTTGGTGGTCGTATCATCAGATAAGGCTGGACTACCTTCCCTACTTCCTCCGGTGCTATCCACACTGGACATGCTCTCCTACAAGTAAGTTTTAATTTCATGATCTCAATGTCATGCCTTCTGATGATAATTCATAAGCACATACTAGTATATGTACATCGATAATTCAGCTAAAATATCCACCTACATGTTTAATTTTTTAGTTGCTTAATTGATTATTTATACATAAAATCCCAATTAAACCTCTGTTATACTTTTCGCTTTGTTGTTTATCCTATCTGATACCGGGTAATATAAAATGGAAAAATCTAAAATCATACGTGAGGTGAAATAAGCGATCTCCAGTTTTACGTCATTTTAAAAATGAACTGTAACCAAAGGCGAAGAAATTTCATATTTTTTTTTCTCTAATCGTAATAAAAAAATCTTTTTTAAACTTTTAGATTTATATTTCTTTAATTATCAACAAAAAAGTCAATCTACCATTGAGATCCGCCTCTCAATTTAAATCGACGAATCAACATTTTAATCATTTTCAAAAAAGACTACGTCGTGATTTTGATCAAAAGTTGTGATACTGGCATCGGTTAAGCCAGTATGTACTTCAAAGAATCAATACTTCTGCGACACCAACTCCTATCTAAATCATCTTTGTTTAAGCTTTGACAGCAGATAATGGATAAAATCAGGTGTGTATTAGACGGTTCCAAATACGGTTCTGAATCCAAATCCTCAGCACAAATAAAACCGTATTTCTTACATGACTCCCTTCTTTATGTGTTTGAGAACAGAAAGACAATATGAAAACAACAAAACAGTGATCCGACGTAAAAATTAGTCAAAATTTCATACTGTGCCCCGAAGCGCACCTCGTTTCTGTGTCGAGATGAGGGTAACAGCTGCAAAACGCGGCACAGAGAGGCCCTCCACTGTCAATTTGTACATAGACCAAATCCTCTAAAAATCAATACAGAGACAAGCTCCAGTGCCTCTATGCTCTGCTCGTGAAAAAAGTTCCCCTTATTCAGTCGTCTGTTTTCCGATAAAATTTGGGACCGAGAAATACGAACTGCTTATTCTCCTGTTAATCCGAACGTATTTTGCTTCATCAATTATTAAAAGACGGTAACTATTTGTCACCCGTGAAAAAGAGTGTCTTGAACATCAGCGGATAAATCACATGTATCAATTATCGGCTTTTCTTACCTGCACCCATGAAAGCCTCAGCTTTAAAGCAACCTATCGACTGTTCCCCAGTGTCTTACCTGTATCGTGCGTTTAATTAATTGAAGAAAGGTTGTCATTCCCATTGACAATTTGTAGAGAGAGAGAGAGAGAGAGACAAAAATTGTCACCAGTATAAGAGTATTAGTACTATCCAAGAAAAACCATCTGATTTTTTTTACACCGTTTCCTGAGATTTGTCAATAGCTTCTAATTTTGGCACGCGCTGGCTCGCGCCTTGTGCCTGTCAGCCATTTTTAGCGGTCCTTGTGAACAATAGCCTCCGTAAAATACAGTGACACAAACAGGGAAAAATCAATAAAAGGTAAAACGAAATATAAACTTAAGATACATGCACATTTTTCTTTTTTACCAATAAGACATAGGTGAGATTTACCTCGACATTGGGTTTTTCGCTCTTGTTCCCCTTTTTTGACATATTGGTACCTGTGTCTGTTCCTCTATTTGTTCCGATGTGGCTGATCCCAGTGCTGGCTTGCTAATAAGAGTCAAACACGGGGCACTCTCAACAAAGCGCGTGGTAGCTGCGGCGACGGTATTACCCGATAGTTAAAACAGAGGACTGATGTGTTCCTATCGATCCATACACCTGGCACCAATACGAATTTTATGGGGCATTTCAAGGTGAAAATCGAATGATGTAGGAGAGACAGACACTGAGAGCAAAGATTCTACACCGAATCCATTAGAGACAAGAGCCATAAAAAGTAGTTCCCAAATCCGTTCCAAATTCAGAAAGAGAGAGAAAAAAAGTCTGAGACAATTCCCCTATGATATCGATCGCCTAGAATCGTGTGGGCAAACGGCAGTTTTCCAAATATTCAACAGGCAGGTTTTTGTAACTTCCTTAATACTGTTTGCGTGATAGGAAGGATAATCGTCCCCCCATTAGCAACCTCGAAACCATGAAAAAACAACAGGAAAGAACATAGTAAGGATCCTTCTCTGTGCTGGGAGACCAGATATTGATCAGGTCACAAGCATCTGTTTGGCACCCCTCTGAGCCCTGCAGCACCTCTGGAGCTATCGATTATATGGTTATTAGACCATGATCACTGGATTTGGAGAATTAACTTTTGTCAACTCCGATGACGTCGCTCAGTTGATAACTCAGGGGATCTTGGAAGTGTCAAGGTTTTTCCAACAACGATGACAAAATCTTCCAAATTTTGGAAAATTTTATTTCTCAATATTTTAACATTAAATTCAAATAGACTATCCCTTAACTTCATTTAACATATTTGCTTCTCAGCACCATTTAATTGTGACTCAATTGGCGTGAATAAAGGGAAGGGACTTATTTGTAAATATACCATGTGACATTTTTATACAAAAAGTATATTTGTGATTTTAAAATGAGGCAGTTTTGTTGGTTTTCTTCTCACTCTTTTTTCCTTTAATTTCAGCAAACTGTATTGGGTTAAAAAAAAAACCCACGTGTTTTCATAAAATTAAAAATTATTTATCATTATAATTATTTTTTCCGTATATTTCGATGGAAACTAATTAATATATTTTTTTTTAAATAAGACGCAAATATGAGAGAGAAAAAAAAGAACATAAAAGCTAGTTATTTTGATTTTTGTTTTTTTCCAACTTCATCTTTTTTAAAATGATGCGAAGTACAGTTTACGTTTATTATTGAAGACAAATTATGTTAACATTTACTTTCAAGTACACTAATTTTATATCAGAACTGGGGGAGGGGGGGGGGGTGTGTTTTCACTCTTTTGACTAAAACCATATTAAGGGTCTTTGTTCTTGCAAAACAAGACTCTGATTTCTTTACATCTTTATTACAGATATATTTCTATTTCGCATAATCAATATGTTTTTTCCTAACAAACAAATTAACTTTAACAACAAACAAGCCCAGGGGCTGACAAAGCCCACTGCCCGACGCCCGGGACTAGTGCATTTTGGGGATCGGCAAGTGAATTTTTATTACCCACTTGCCCGAGGGCAAGTGACTTTTTCAAGAAAAAAATAATAAGTCTTAGTTTTAAGTGGAAATGGGCAATTGTAATAATCGTTTTTTTTGTCTTCCTATTTTCATAGTTTATGGTGGGGCAAGTAAAAATTCAGGTAGGGCAAGTGAATTTTGACCATGTACTCGTCCATGGGCAACTACTTGAAAAATCTATTTGTCAGCCCCTGCAAGCCTATAAATTCTCTTTGCATAAAGCAGACACTCAAAAAGCTATGCACGCTTTCTCTCGATTCCCGCTTACATTTTACGCATATATAATTCAACATTATTGGTGATTTGGCCATTAAAACTTTTTTGAATGCAAGTAGAGGTCATAAGTAATTGATTAATAATTCTAATATCATTATCAGAAAGTTAATTGCTCTTAATTGAAACTCTTTTAATAGAAAGGGGGGGGGGGTTAGAAAATGTTATCCATTGAAATGCGGCTTTAAACAGTCACCGGATTTAAAATACTCATGGATATGGATATATTTATGTTTAACTTATATGTAAAATTAAACATATAAGATTGATAAAGTACATTTTCGTAGTACAGTGTACATGTAGTAGTCTCATTAGGAAAATGGTAATCGAATGAACATTTTAACCGTGTATTTGTCTGTAAACATATCCCCCACCCCACCCCCGTAAAACAAGTTTTGGTATGTATATGTTAAATAACAAATTCATGATACCTATAAAAAGGATTTTTTGTTTCAAGGGGATATTTTTCCATTGATTTCTATAGTGAAACACACACAAGTTTGATAAAAATTATTGACTTATCTCTCTTTGATTTCCCAAATAATTAATTTGAAATTCATATAAATATCTATATACAAAATATGAAAAAAAAAATCAAATATGATAATTTTGAAAATTGACTTGGAGGTAGGCGGCGGAAAAAATACAATCGTTTGCAGTTCTCCTTTTCCAGGAATTCCAAAACGGAAAAAGAGAAACATAGTTTTTCACAGGCCAAAAGAGATTTGAACACAATAAAAAATGCACACACTTACATAAAGAATTGCCAAAAGTAAACCACTTTCTAAAACAGAGACACAAATTTGAGATAGGAGAGGGGGGGCAAGAAAAACATAAAACAGTAAATCTTTACATTTGCAAATATTTTTCTTAGGTGAACTTATTGAAGAGAAAATGAACTTATTAGGGGGTCAGAGGTCAGAGAGTGACCGAATCACACAGCGAGATGATATCTTGCCTATGTACATACAGTCACAGTGAAATTGGTTTCGGAACTTCCAGCTTGATAGCAATGACAAAGATAAAGTAATTAAAACATACGGATATTTTTTTTTCAATCAACAGATCTATGTCCGTTGGATTTTCCTTCAGTGTGAAGAATGGTTTGAATATTAATTAAAATCGCGCTTACCTTTTTAACCCAAAATTCCTTTTAAGGTATGAAACAGACGGTACCACTGCTCTATTTTGACTCAACATATTAAAGAACTCGCAAAACAGTAAGATTATTTTCATTATCGATTATTGTTCTATCATTATGGGCAGGGACTTCCTGAACTTGATAGCGAAACATATAAACATTCAAATTTTGGAGCTAGGCGAACTTTCATGACCAAATAACTTTCAATATTCTAGGTCACAACTTAGTGATACAGCAGGCCGTTTGTGTACTATTTCTTTTCGAATATTCGTCCCAAATGTAAATATAAGTAATAAACAACAATGTAAAAAGTTCACTGGGAAATGAACTTGGTTGGCACGTGATCAGATCTACTAAGACCACAGGATTTGATCACGTGACCAACCAAGTTCATTTTCCAGTGAACTTTTTAACATTGTTTATTTCTTAAATAAACCTTTAATTTTGCATTCAAGG